GCTGAATCTTGTGCTTTTTTATTCCCTAAGCCTGTCATAATACTCTCTTCTCTCTTCCTTTTATCCAAAACTTATCCACCTGTCTCTCCAGGTCCCATCATTCATTTACTAATTTATTCATTTACCATAAATGAGCGCTTAATTTTTACAAAGTGATGTACTACACAGTGAATTGTAGGTAAATCCTACACAGTGAATTGTAGGTAAATCCTTCCTTCACGATGTTTACAAGCCTAACAAGGGAGAGTAAACAGATATATAAATAATGCCAATACAAGGCAAAAATAAAAGTGGCAGTACAAGACAAGATAGATATAGTCATATATATATATATGTACATATATATTCAAAATAAAGAACAATGAATCATATTCAAGCATATCAAAGAAGGCTTTATGGAAAAGACACTCGCCACGCTAGGACCAAACAGCCAGCACTTGGAGACACAGATATGAGGGAAGAAGCATAAAGAACCACTGAAGTAAATAAAAGCAAGGAAGAAAGTACAAGCTGTGTTTGAAAAACACCGAATATGTTCAGTGCGATGAGAAATGAACTTGGAAGGGGAACAGCATCCCTCTGGAAAACAACTCAGGAATTGGCAATCTCTCCTGACCTCTCTTCTCTGTGACTTTCCAAAATGCTTCTGTTTGTATCTCACCCTTTGTGCTCTAAATGGCAGACACTAAATAAATGTGTGTTGAATAATGAATTAATAAGGCATTTGCTGGTAAATATTTCTATGTAATATAACTCAGGGAAAATGTGCAGTGTGTTTGAAGTGAAAACTTAACTGCTTCAAAGTGATCTCTGTTCCCTAATGTTTGCAAAACTCATAAAAACTACGGTTTGTAAAATGCAAGATAATGGTGATAACTCACATTTTAAGGACATCTTTGGGTGTGTAACTGATATCTTACTTTATCTCACTAATTCATGTTACTTCAGATAGAAAGAAAACCAAAGGCAGATGCACTAGTGAATCTGGAAGACCCGTATTGCCCCCAGGTTCCTGGATAGGTATGTCCATCCCTGTGTTACTTCATCAGAAACTTACAGAAAGGCCAGAGATGCCACAGGTTGGAAACAGATCTGGTAAAAGGAGATGAAGCAAGTGGATAGTGCCTAAGAAACTCAGAAGGCTTGAGACTCCAAGCTGAAAATATTCATAGGCTCCCAAAAGGTTTAACTAAATCATCAACATCATCATCATCACATCATCATCATCACCATGGCTATCATTTATTGAGTCATTTCTAAGAACCAAGCATTGTGATAAATGCTTTATAAATATAATTTTATTTAATTCTCATAACTACCATATGAAATAGCTATTACTATAACCATTTTTTAGATGGAGAAAATGGGGCCTACTGTGGTGAAGCAACTTAACCAGGTTAAACAGCAGGAGGTTGTAGAAGCCAGGATTAAACCCACGTCTGTCTGATTCCAAGCCCTATTTAGACTAACTCTCCGGATTAATGGATGATAGATTCTTCGTGCATTGTCAAAAGAGACCATCACACTTAGTAGAAACCAAAAAGAAGTCAGCCACGCCCTTCCCAAAGACTAACCTCTGATAGATGTACAACTCTGAGCCCCTGAATTTTTCCACATGTGCTGATTCTTTTGGACTTTCAAGGATAGGAAAACACAGTAGCCATGTCACAACCTAAGAATAAATAAACCTTCACCAGATCCACACACTGAATATGGAAAAAAAGCAAGCTAACAAGCCACAAGTCAAAACTCCTGAAAGATGCACTTTCATGAAGACTGGGAAGGGAGAAAGAAATAAGTGGCACCTACAGGCTTAAGTGGTGTTGAAACTGGGACATGAGTTGCAAACCAGAGGAACATGGAAAACACAGCCACCTTTTGTTCTCCTCAAAGCATTTGCTCAACATTTGCTTTGATATATTCACTGTTTAATAAAAACAGAGTTGTTTCTTAGTTTTTTTAAGCAAAATATCACTTATACCCTAAATCCTCTCCAGGAGATAACCTTGTAGATTCCAGTGCCCCTCCACCATTTAGCAGCTGTGTGACCCGTGACGAGCGATTGTGAGCCTGTATCACCATGGGGGCAGGTCACTTCTCTCTATGCCTCAGCCCCCTCATTTGTAAAATTGGAATAATAAAGAATAACCCCCACACATAGGGCTGATGTGAGGATTTAATGATTTAATATGCATATAATGAATATATATATGTACAATACTGAAAGCAACGCCTGGGACATAGTAAACACTACGTAAATATTGGATGTTATTATGTGTAGAATGGTTGTGCAAATATTAATTATTTTAGTAATCATTTTCAGCATTATGCCACTTACCAGGGGTCTGCAGAAAGTCTCCTGAAGCAGGGGTCGTTGTATTTATATGCTAACCTGCCCACACCTACACACATTTTTCTGAGGTGTTCACAGGTAATTTTCTAGTATGTTCTTGCCTTCGTGCATTTGTGTGTTTTTCTTGAATATCATCATTTAATTCATTTTCTCCATCATTCTTCCACATCACCCATGTAAGTCTAAATGACCTTGGGATCGGGGGTGAGGGGAGACACTGAAAGTGCCCAACGCTGACAAAAGTGAAAAGGTTCTTTCAGTCAGGCACCACTCTGCCAGCCGAAGTTCCTCACCTCGGGTCTCGTCAAGGACAAAAAACAGGGTCCGGATAAGCCTTTACAAATGGGGGGCCGGGGTGGGGGGTGTGGAAGAAACAGCAGGTCCGTCTGCCTTCTCCATCCATCTAAAAAATACGTGTATGGAGGCCGCTACGGCCAGATACTGTGCTGGGCAGAAGAAAACTGGACATGGCAGAAGGCAGAGAAGATGCCCGTCCCCGTGGAGCTTCCGAAGAGCAAAGTAACTAGCCTCCCAGAAGGCCGGCCACCCTCCTGTGCGGACCACCAGACTCGCGGCGCCGGAAGCGGGACTGGCCAATCCGGGCCCCGCCCACTCGCCTCACGTCCGCACAGCGCCGACCCGGCCCCTTCGGCGGCGGCGGCTGCGCGGGCCTCGGATGCGCGGGCACGCGGGACGCCCAGCTGTCAATCACGCGCAGGTTGAGCTCAGCTAGGCTGGAGCAGCAGCGGCAGCGGCGGCGGCGGCGGCGGCGGCGGCGGTGGCGGCGGCGGCGGCGGCGGTGGCGGCGATGGGACCCCAGCGAGAGATCTGCGGCTAGCTGGCTGCATTTGCTCCACGGGTCAGGGGATCGCAGGCGGCAGGTAAAGCCTTGCGGAGCCCAGGGGTGAGGTTTTCTAGGCTCGATGTGTCCTTCTCCCGCTCCTTTTTCTTTCCTTCCTCTCTCCACACGCACAAATATTCATATTTTCTCTGTCTCTCTCTCTCTCTCTCTCTCTCTCTGTCTCTCTCTCTCTCTCAGTCTCACACACACACACACACCACCCCTAACTCGTTCACGATTATATGGACACAAATCTCTACAAAACCCATGCGTATTAAAATCCACGAACACGTACAAATTAGGAGTAGCTAACTCCATGCTTTGGCGGTTTGTGGTTTGTGTTATGTAAGAATTTGGGAGGTATACAGGGAAAACTCAGGAGTTTCTTTCCTGTGAGACAAGAAAAGTTGTAATATTAGATAAGAGTAAAAATGTATGTATTTGGAGTTTGCAAAACTGATTTGATTTCTTTTCCAGGCTGAATTTACCCCCTCCTTGCCTTCCCCACTCCTCTGCCGTATCTAAAGACGTCTGAGTTTTTGATATGATCTCAGCACCTACTTCTTCGTGTTGTTAGAAAGGGGGCTTGGGTGGGGGTCCTACCAAAGCTGATGACCTCAAAGAAAACAGAGCTGGAGTTGAACAGCTTATGTATACTTAATTGGTTCCTGGCTCTGTAGCAGAAATGTTTTCAGCACCTTGAAGAGCTCCTTTGGCTCCAGACCAAGCCAGCCTTTAGTGAAGGGCATGTGTGGAGTCAATTCCCTCAAAGAAAAGGGGGAAGGCGACAGATAAAAAGAAGGGACATTTAATGAGAGAGACAGGCACAGATGAGAGACAGACAGACAGACTTGTTTTCTTTTACTTATCCAGACCCAGAATCCTAATATAATTTGCTTCTTTGTCCAAATCTGCTCACATACCACCCACAAAATAAAATTTCAGGACAAATAAATGAGTCTTGAAGAAGGCTGGCTTGGCCATGGTACATACAGACTGAACCTGGAAAATACTGAAAACAGTTTTTCAGGGCTCAACTAGGCGTACACTCCTCAAGTCTTTGAGATTCTCCTGCATATGGATGGGGAACTGTTCATCAGAAAGAATTCTTAATGCCTCTTGAAAAATACAGCCCGAGTTATTTTATTTCACATGACTACAGTAATGTAGGAAACCAATAGCTCTATAGCTGGCAATGGCTTTTTAATTAAATCTTGCATGGGCACCTGCTTTTCTTAGGCAGATGGAAAGTAACATGATCGTGATAGGAAGAAAATGGATATAGGAGTAAAAATCAACCTAATGAGTAAATCATCCAAAGAGCCTTAGTAAGTCTAAAATGCATGTAAATGGATCATAAAATACAATAGCTATAAGATTAATTTATTTTACACTATAATGGGATAGGCACCAAAGAGATCAAGTCTGGAGTATCTGGGAAGCAAGTCATCTTTTTCTTTACAATTTGTAAAACACAAATTGGTCAGTCTAGTTGGTATTATTGACTACATGGAATAGAATTATATCAAAATGAGAATATATTTGTATAATGTGTTATAGTTTACATAGCCCTTTTCATTTATATTGTTTCATTGACTCTATAAACTCTCATGAGAGCCCATTAAAAAGTTATAAAATATGTTATACTTTTGTAAAAAAGAAAAAACTATCTTTGCTCTTGAACAGGAAGTCCTTTGTCAATGTTTTTGTCAATATTAAATGATTCTTTACAAGTTATAAAAATGACTTATGAAGTTTAGACTTTTATCTGGATCACATTCTGCAGAGATTTTTGTTCTTAAATAGGTTTGAAGAATGAGCCATTAAAAGGAAAGGTCAAAGAGTAAACAACAAGAAGAGGAAGAGGAGGATTTCAAAGGTAAGACTCAAACCTTGTCACATGTAAATTCATAAGCACCTTCTGGTCTGCACATCGATAAAGAAGAGGTTTAAAGAGAATATGGGTTCTGTTTCTCTTCTCATTGCGGTTTTGGACTTTATTTTACCTTACTTAAAAGTACATCTCAAAGGGGCAAAGTAATAAGATAACTGCGTATCATTACCCCCTTTTTTAAAAATTATAAAAGTGGCTGCATAGCCACTGACTTAGAGGAAATAAAAATTCACAGTGCAGAGCCACAATCTCTACCACTATTCCAGGACAATAAAATATCTCTGAAATGGTTCACTGGTAGAAATACATTTTCAGGTTTTAAGGTTATGCTTATATAATTTCAGAATGCCTGATTTAAATATGAAAAAGCTGTTAGCAGGCTTTCATGCCTTCCTGCATCCACTCTTGAGTCTAACTGATTCTTTTAAGCGAATTGACCTTTTGGTGTAGTGTTGGATAAATGGTCTAAATCAGCTATGCGCCTATACCTTGCAGCACTGGCCCTGTGGAAAAGTGTCTCTAATGGGAACTTCACTCTCATTATCTCAGAATGATTTTATGGGAGAGAAAAGTGCAGTATGAAAACTTGAGTGATCTTTCAGAGAGAATAAATAGAACAGGGCCTGTGCCTGGCTTCACAACTGACTCACACATAGAGCCATGGGAAAACACTCATCCTTTTTGTGCCTCAGTTTTCTGCCTCTCTTCTCTCAAGGAGACCATGAAGACAAATACCATAAAATCTCTGGTATTCTTAAGGTTTCATGAGGCATAAAGCCTTATTTCTATTTCCATGGCTATGAACATTTTTCAAGTAAAATAAAGAGTAACTGCTTCTATTAGACTGAAATTCAAATTTCCAACAAACTGATACTTTAGTGTAGTAGTACACATATAGATCATGGTAACACACACATGAGTTTGTTTGCTGAATAGAGTAATCATTCGAGGGATTCTCAGCATTTATACTTCTTCCTGCTGCAAATACCTCGTTTTGGTGCCCATTTTGTTGCACTTACTGCTTCAGAAGTGTTTCTTCTTCTAACCCGAGTCAACTGAGAGCAAAATGTGTGTCCCACTCATCTTTGTAAGCACCGTCTCACGTAATCTGGCATATAACCAGTGGTTTAAAAACACCGAAGGAAGGGAGGAATGAAAAATCAAGGACCGCTCAGGCCATCATCCACACCAACCCATCTGGAACTCTGTGCCAAGAAATTTCAAAGTGGTAAACAGGACAGAAAATGTCCTTGCCCTGGTGAAGTTTACAGTTTATCATGTACAAGTTCTATCAGACCATCAAATAAACCACATAACAGAGGATCAGGTAATAACAAGTTCTATGAAGGGGAACAAATCTAGACAAGGGGATAGAGAGTAATAGAGGGCTGATATTGATTATGCTCATTGTAGAAAGCCTCTCAGAAGAGTTTGGGGGTTTGAATATCCATTTAATGTATAACTGTGCATGCGGTTGAGATAGATACCATAAACAAATAATAAAAAGAAGAAAACCATGGATGGATCCTCACTTATCAGCACCCATAAGGTCGTTCAGGAAAAATGAAAACAATTCCCCCTTCATAGATGACCAAGTAACCAGACACTTATGCTGCTTGTGCTCCATCACGATGGCCATGCTGGCAGTGAAGATGCAACAGGCTCCACCAGAGTGTTTATAAAATGAAAACTCACAAGGACTCATTTAAATACAATACTGGAGAATATTTTCACTCACCTCCCCCTATGCATGTACTTCCTAGGATGTTAAGTCTTTCTCTCAAGAAAGGAGCCCCTTCAGGATCCATCACTAACAGCAGCCATAGATTTAACATTACTGTTTTTGCTGCCACTACTACACCTATTGAAACACAAACACCGCAATTCTCATGAAACCTTACTAATTAAATAAATGCTGAGGCAAGCTGAAACTCCTTTGCACATAACTTCCCTTTCTTCTCAACCCTGGTGTATCATATACTCATTGCCCAGCTTTTAAAGTGACTTTATGAAATGACCTCATGTATATCAACCAGGTAGATTCCAAATAACTGTAACATTTTCTATATTGAGACAAAAAGTTACCTATGAGGAATGTAACTCTCTTGAGTTTTTGCAAGTGCAAAATTTCTACTCTAAAATGTTATATTTTAAAATACATGTTCTACCAAGTGATCCGTCTCCTCTAACAGTGAATTCCAACAAATTATATGTTTGGAAAGAGGTATGAAATCTCTAAGACCCCCCAGGGACTACTATTTTAGGCAACATACACTATACTAAAATAACTTATTGAACAAATAAACAATACACAACCATTCAGTCTACTGAATACCAAGTAACTAACCTAACTAGTAGCTTATATACTCTTTTAAACTAAAGCTTCATGCACACTATAATAAAGCAATCTGACAATCAATCATTGAGAGCACGGGAGGAGATGGGAAATCCCTAAACCCAGTTGTTTATCAAACAAAAATAATCGACTCATTCTGTAAATTCATGGCCAAAGACTCTTGAAAAATCTATGTCTAGAAGGAATTAGAGGTTATATGGTCCAGCCATCTTATTTTAAGGATGATGCAACCATAGCCCAGAGAGGTTACTGAGCTTACCTGAGATGTCAAAACCAGTAAGCTGCAGATCAAGAACTAGCATTAGAGCCCATTCTCTGCTCGGTGTGGTTATCACAGTGCAGGCCTTGTTCTTGTACTCTGTACGCCTGGAGGGGAGAATAAGATTTGTTGGGATTTCTCTTCTGGAATGTATCTAACATCACTAAAAATCCATTCTGACTTAGAGTAGAGCCATCTATCACTCAGGCTCAAAAGCATTTGTTTTATGACATTTTCTATCTCTTTTATGATTTTACCTATATTGTGTTTAACCAAGTTGGACTACTGAGTCTCATCCTATAAAGCAGAAACATTTAACCTAGTGTGCTGGAAACAAGCAGTGCAGGGAATGACTACAATATGTCACAAGGTCCTGCTCTGCACCAAAGCTAAATCCTGAGAAAGAATGATTTTAGCATCTAAGGAAGATAACTCTTACTGTTGCTATGAGGGATTGTTTTTATTCCTATCATATCTATTTTTGTCCTTTTTTCATGTTAAAGTCTCCAATGCTTTATTGAAAACCTGAACATATATATTTGTATGAGTTGGTTCTGATTATGCAAATATATGATTCCATCTATACTCCTGTTTACTGTATTGTCATCTTTCATCTGCTCCCTGACTCATGATATAAACTGTAGCAGATGATTTTTCTTTGCCTCAGTTTCTTCAGTGACAAAGCAGACTTAGTAATACTAATCCCATTTCCCCTTGACTGAAAGTTTATTAGAATGTCTTAAAAGAAAGTGCCTTTAAAATTATTCTACTTGGATATCACTAGTAATGGCCCCTTATTAATCATCTTCTTTGTGTAAGCATTAAATAAAAGGTACTGAAGAGATCATCCTAGCATTTAAAATATGAAAACTAGGTTAACAAAAGAATTTGGTCCATCAGACATTGCAGCTCTAATCAGGCAAAGTCCCTTCTGAAATCTTGATTTTTTTTATGAAATAATATCCTTCCGAAATGTTAAAAAGCAAAAAAACAAAAATAAATTTCCTTTCCTGATCTCTCCTCCTGGGTGATTTCTTTAGATGGTAGCTGGACCTGAGACAGGAAGAAGTCACTAGGAGGTAGGCACTAAATGTAACATTGACCAACACTTTAAAAGATGAGGTTATCAGTCACCATCAGTTATACCTGTTTGCATCATTTTTCTAAGGTCAGGGCCACATTTTCCTGAATTTGACCACATGTTCTAACCAAAACCCACTTGTGGCTGAGGGCACACATTTACAAGATATTCTTAAGGGTTCACTTTGTGGCCATGGGACAGTGAGTCCCTGGGTTCAACTTTGACTTTAGCCCCATGATTCTATACAACCAAATTAAGTGGCCACACAGGAACACCTGCTAGAATTTTAGATTAAGTTTTTCTTGTAGGTAAACATTACTACTTGGTTTCTTGGCAAGTAATTGAAAACATTTAATATGTCTTCTTATTGCCTGGATTATAGCACAGGTCCTGAGAACCTGGGTCAGTGAGAAAATTATCCTCCTTCTATATTGTTCCTTGCTTTGTCATGTTGAGACAGGGAAAACTGTCTAGAGTTTAAAACTATGTCCACACAGGGAAAACCATCTAGAGGATAACTGAACAATCTAAAGAAGTATTTCATATTTCTAGCTACCTATTTATCTGCTTATATGGAGATCAAAAAACCAAAGAACAAACAGAATAACTGAGAATTCTCTTACTCACCAAAATTTCTGTCCTTCAGTAATTCCTTTTTTTTACCATGAATTATTAACCACATGCCTCTAAGGTCAAATTAGATCAGATCAAGTTGAAATTTCCATCTGAAGAAGGCAGAGTCCCAAACAACCCACCCAGAGCTTAGTGTCATTAAACAATTCTCTGAATTTTTTATTTATAGTAGACACTTAATGGGAAATAGTAAAAGGCAGGTCTACCTTCTGCATTATGCTCTAGCATCCCACGTGGACAGATGTATCCACAAATAATGCCTGAAATATCTGGAGTTAGAGTCAGTGAGGTATCAATTATTGGCCAAGCCATTTGTGATAAAGCATGAAGCAACTTTTTAATAAAGCTTCTGTACAACTTGACAATTGTTAGAGCAAGATACATGAGATCCGAAGGCAAAATTTCAAATAGCTACGTAACACCATGTAGTTTCCACAAGGGAACATGGTTAAGCATTGAAGAGGACAGTCCAGGACAAATTCCATCTGTACCAAGTGAGAGTGCCTTCCTAATCCTTTAACATGGAAGTGTAAAGACTACTAGATTCTAAGAGATTAAAGATTTCTTGTCAAGACACTGAAAATCTCAGCTTCTTTGTTGCCATTTCTCATGTGCTTCCTGCTTAAATTTTTGCATCATCTAAGTGAGCTGTGCTGTTATGTCTTGTTTCATTTATGGAGAACCAGTTCTAGACATTGAGTGTTTGGGATAATTTTGCATTCAGTAGAGAAGAGCAGCTTGGGTTAAAAAGGCAGGTCTTTAAACATGTCTTTTCTTGCCAGAAAAGAGCATTGTTCAAACAGGCTGACATTATTCAGCCTGGTTCTTACCTTTAATTTGCCTTTTGATCCTGAGGCCAGAGCTCATGTGGTTGATGCCTGTGGGTGCTGTCATTCCAGCTGGGAAGGATGAGTTCTTGCAGCAACGTTTGTGGGTCCAAGCAGGCACAGGCTGCTACCGAGGGCGGGTACCAGCGCTATGGAGTCCGGTCCTACCTGCACCAGTTTTATGAGGACTGTACCACCTCGATCTGGGAGTATGAGGATGATTTCCAGATCCAGAGATCACCTAACAGGTGGAGCTCAGTATTCTGGAAGGTAAGTAAAGAGCATGTGTTTAACTCAGGAAGTGGAGAAGTCATTTGATACGGGAAATAACTCAGCTATAGAGAACTGAGAAGTCTGGGACTCTGTGTGTGGATCCCTCTCAGTGTCACTAAGTTCAGTTTTCTTCCTTAGGAAAGGAGACTATAACCCTTGGGCTGAAGAAAGCCTCTACACACAGCACAATTGTTGATTTGCAGGTTAAACATAAATAGATATAATTGCCATCATTAATTATTATTTTTGCTATTGTTATTAACATGCCACTAAATTCACCAACTATGACAGCCATCCAAAGGCAAAACATGCTTTCAGCCTCCCTTAAGGTTTGGTAAGTATCATTTGACAAATTACAATAATTATTAGAAGAAACAGTTGGATACTAGAGAGAGTTAATACTGAGACATAATACAGTGGTCAGTCTGCCAGCTCTGCCTCTCCTGGATATGTGGTCATGAGGCTTTATGAGCTTCAGCTTCCTCAAGTGGAAGGAGCCTCACTAGACAATAAGTTCAGTCATTCAGCATATAATTAGTGAGCACCTACTCTGTGCCAAGAAGTTGCAAAGTACCAGAAATTAAAGTGGTAAATGGGAGAAGAAAAAGTCCCTTGCCCTCAAGGAACTTACAATCTATCGTGGGAAACAGACCATAAACAAATAAACCACACAACAGAATGGTAGTGGCAAGTGCTATGAAGAGAAATAAATCAGAATAAGAGGATAGGGAAGGATGGAGAACTGGTATTTAGTTGTGCTGATCACAGAAAGCCTGTCAGAGGAGATGACCTTTGAGCAAATACCAGGGAGTAAACCATAAAATTACCTGGCTGAAGGTCACTGTAGGCTGGGAAAATAGCAAGTCCAAAAGCTCTGAAATGGGAACACTGGTGTGTTTGAAAAATAGCAAGAGATCCAATCTGGTTGGAGAGGAATGAGAGAGGGGAAAGAACAGGTGATGGATTCAGAAAAATAACAGGACACAGATGATGTGTGTGGAGCCTTGTAGGTGACAGTGAGGACTTTGGCTTTTACCTTGAGATCCATGGGAAGCCACCTGAACATTTCAAGCAGATGAGTGACATGACCCGACCAGTATTTCAACAAGATCATTCTGGCTACAGTACAGAAAATAAATTATAGGAAGGCAAGGATAGAAGCAGCTAGATTATTTAAGAGGCTGTTAAAGTATCCAGGCAAGAATAATAGTGGCTTAGATTACGGTGGTGTTAATGGAGATGGCGAGAAGTAGTCAGATTTAGCATAAAGTTTGAAGGGCAAGCTGTCAGGACATGTTGGCACATTAGAAACGAAAGAAAGAAGAGTCAAGCATGACTTAGACTCGCAGCCTGAGCTCTTTAGTGGATGATGTTATAATTCACTGGGATGGAGAACACCAGGAGAGCAGTGGGATGGGCGGGGAGTCAAGAGTTTGATTTTGGCATTGCTACATTGGAGGTGCCTATTAAACATGCAAGTGGAGATCTCTAGTAGCAATTTAAATATACTTCAGCTCATGAATTGGGAGTCGCTGATACATACAGTGTATATGAGGTACCAGACTAGACAAGATCACCTAGGAAGAGAGTATAGACATAAGAGAGAAGAAGGCATCGAATGTTCCAACATTTAGAAATCAAAAAAAGGACAAGGATGTAGGAAGGGCTACTGAGAAGGCACAGCTTTAGATGATGCCTCGGATTCCCTCCAGGTCTAATATTCTGTGTTTTGGAGGTTTCTGATCATCCCCAACTTTCTCCCGAAAGATCCCAGAAACTTTGACATTGATACCGACATAAATTTACAATGTACTGGCAATAGAGTTTAACAAGAAGCAGTGTAACATAGTGATGATTATGAGCACGGACTCTGGCCTCAGATTACATGGGTTCAAATCTCAGCTCTGTAACTTTGGGTAATTTAATTGACCTTAAATGAGCCTCTAATGGTGATACTTATAGTACCTACCACATAAGTTGTGAGAATTAAATAAGATAATAGATGCAAAGAGCTTAGAACAATGTCTGGTAGGCACTCAATAAGCACTTAATATATTAGCTCCTAGTACCAGATGTCATATGGAACACTGAGTTCTGAAATAGAAATAAAACTGGAAATCTAGTTAATAAATAAAATATTGGTAATGTGATTATTACTATGGATTACCCAAGACCTGTGTTGATTCAAAATCTTACTAGTGTCAGGCACTCTGTATTAGAATTGGTCAAGCCAGCCTTCTTATTCTGTACAAGTGTCACCTCTGATGACTCCGTACTGGCCTGGACCAATGAAATACATAGCCAAGCTTGGCACATCTTGTATTTACCCAGGCAAGTGGGTGGTTGCTTCTCTATATGTCAAAAAAACAAATATTTGCCTCACAGGTCTATTGTGCCAAGAGCCTAAAATGCCACTGACATACAGAATACTGCAAATGCTAGTGGTTCCAAAGCACTAGTAGTGATACGAGTTGTGAAGCTATAACTCCATCAAATAATACATGGGTATGGATTTACAATAAAGAACTCTCAGTAAATTACCAAGCCTAGAATTCAGATTTCAGTATTTTCTCTCTTCTGTTTAACGCAAACAAGATCCAAAAGTATTTGTTCCCTGTTGTGCTGGACCTGCTTCAGAGAATAAAACCAGGCAAAAGTCCATGGCCTCACAGAGATTATATTCCAGCAAAATCCAAATCTTAGACTTACATCCTAACCATAAAACACTAGACTGGGCACTCAGAAGCCTACAGTCAACTTGAAAAACCAAAGAATTCACTGTCTTAGAGACCTCACCCCTACCAAGGGAATAAACCAACCATTCTTGGGTTTCCTCCTAGGGAATATAAGGGAACTCATGCCAGCGAGCATATGAAGTGCTTTGAATCAACACAGAGAGAAGCACTGATTATGCACGTGTTTCTATTATGATACTTTTCTTATGTTTTTTCTTTCATTTCAATCTGCATCTTGTAAGTGGTTCAAGATGTGGGCTCCCCCTTCCCTCTCTTCCACTATAGCATTGCTGAGGCCACGTGGGTCTCTCACTGTGGGCCACGCTCACAGAGCCTCAGGAGGACTCTGCTGGTGAGCCAGCTCCTTAGCGGTGGGCAGCAAGGAGGGGCTTAATGAGAACAGGGATTGGAATCAAATGGGCCTGAGCCAGAAACTTTGCTCTACCACATGGACCGATGTAACCTCGCTCTCACAATGCTGTTCTTTCTACACGTTTATATGTCCACTGTGCACAAACCTCTGTGGTGGGCTCCGGGATTCAGTTGTGAACACAACACTGTTCTTCACCTGACGGAGTTCACAGTCAAATAAGGAAGGTAGATGTGTACAGAGATTGTTACAATCCACCATGCCAGTTGTTGCAGTACTTACTGGACAGATCTGATGCAGCCTGGGGAGGAAGTGACTCCACAGAAGAGTTCACAGGCACAGAAAAGCACTATAGAAAGAAGAGCATCGCAGAAGCTGCGTCATGAGAGAAGATGGCATGCTCAGGAGATGCCAACAGTTCACTGTGGCTGGGGTAAGAGTTAGGCGTGGAGGACAAAGGCCAAGAGATGAACACGGTAATGTATACAAGAGCCAGATCACAGAGACTCAGCAAGGCTGTGAAGTAGAAATTTCTCCAGAACCTTCCTGCTTGACTGAGTACAGTGAGTAGGTAAGATAATAAAGCTAGGCTTTCTTGGGAAGGTTGTCTCACAATCAGGTGTAAACAGCCCCTACACACACACACACACACACACATATACAGTATTATACACATTCTCTGTGCCTCACAGCTTCTGGATTACTTCATGGTGGCCTCCGCCACTGCTAATTTACCTGCAACTGCTGCCATCTGCAAAAATCTATGTGACACAGTCCCACCTACCCCCTGCCACCTACTGCCTCTGCCCAAGGGCCTAGCAGGCTGTGGTGGAGTTTTTCTTTCTCACCCTTGCACTTGACCTTGACTAAGACTGCTGCTACTTGATGGTGCAGCAGACAGCTGAAGTACTGCAGGTATGAACTAATGGGAGCAGTCTTCTTACCCCAGTCGTTCTTTCCTCACCCCAGGGTTATCCTCCTCCTTACCTTTCCCTCAACCAATATCAGAAATCTCCCAAAGGGTGTTAAATAGCAACGGGCAGGTACAAGGCAAGACCGCTTCCTCCACAGACTTACTAAAAGTGAAAATGATGCTGGTACCTCTCTTTTCTCTCAAGACCCTCCTCCTACCTGTCCCAATCTCTCCAGTTTCCCCCTTAAGCTAAGTCAGAGTTTAAACTTACATCTTGGATTTCTCTTCAGAGTCTTGCTAGATATTAAGGAGATGGTTTTATTCTAGAAATGAATAAGGAAGTCCCTTAAGAGGAGAAACCATGTGGTATTATTAAAAAAAAAAAAATTTCTCAGATGACACTTGAAAAATGGACAAAGGATGAGACTAGCCATGGAGACCATCAGAATGCTGTTGCAATGATCTGGCCAAGAGTTAATAATGCTCTGTTACCATTAGAGTAGCTGTAGTGATGGAGAGACAAGATTCAAGAGAATTCTGAGATAGAATCAATAAGATTTAATTATCCATTGACTACGAATGTGAGGAAGGACTCAGTGAATGGGCAGGTGGCAGGAATGCAGAAAAACTGGGAAGGAAAGAAGAAAGGAACACCATTTTGAATATTTGGGTTTTGCAGAGCCTTTGGGACACTTTTGTGTAGATCCTCCCATTGGCTGTCATAAATGTGGGGCTACAGCCCAGGAGAGAAATCTAGGCTGGAGCTGGACATTTGGAAGTCACTGGTATATAGATGCGAGTTGAAACTGCGGCCACAAATTAAACCATAGAGAGAACATATTGAGTAAGAGATGTGAGTCAGGGCTGGAACCCTGGGGGACACCAATAATTTAAGAGTGTCTGGCAAAGCAGGTTAAGAGTGAGTTGGTAAAGACAGAAGTGGAAGAGAGTTGTGTCAGCGATAATCATTGGTGAGGGTTTTAAGAAAGCCTAAGTACTTAAAATCAATGACTGCAGAATATGCAAATGAAGAAAAGAAAAATTGGATTTGATAATTAGGAAGTCATCAGTGACCTCAGAGAGAGGGGCTTCAGTGAAATGGTGGAGGACTAGGCTTGGCTACCAAGGGTAGGAATGAGTTCAAGCAGTAGCTAGTGGAGGACACAGGGCTCTAGAATAGGTTTTGAAGATGGAAGCGACTGAATGTGCTGACAGGCTGGAGGGACAGAGCCTCTGTAAGACAGCGGAGCCAATGCAGGATCCTGCTACCCAGGTGAAGGAGGGCTGTGGAGACTGTACCAGGTGACGCATATGTGGAAGGACCTGATCCCAGCCCGGCACTGGTCACTGCTTTGCAAAGCTCAGTGTCCCTACAAGCAGGTCAGGCAAGAGGGTCAGGACAGATGAGTTAGAATCTGCCATCACTCTGGCAGGTGACAGCACTCCGAGCTCAGGTCCTGCTAAGGAGCGGTGGGTAGCAGCCCTCAGGGCTGATGCAGAAGAAGAAAAGCCAGTCTTCACTCTTGCTGCACTTCCTCTGAATTTTACCTCTAACCCAGAAGGCTTCATTCCCATTTAGCTCCATCCAGCAATCTCCCCCCACACGCCGCTCTTCCCTGCCATGCTGGTTCTTGCCTCCACCAGTCATTACCGCCTCCTCTCTGCCAGAACAGCTGTGTTGCTCCTGCTGCCAGCTCCGCTTATTGGAGTGAACTGCATTTTCAGATCTCATCAGCTCACAGACAGACCACGAAGGGGATGCTGGTCAAAAAACAGCAGCTTCTGGCTTGTGGTCCCCAGAAGCAGAATTTCTGGAATCCAAGCTCTCCCCTCTGTCCAATCCTCCTTTCCAACAGCAGGGACTGGGTTTTCACCCATCCTTCGCACAGTCAAGAGAGTCATCAGAAGTCACAGCACAAAAACTGCTCTTGCTGCTCTCTTTAAAGTTTGCTTTTCATCACCTGGAGAGGCCCTTCTCTCTCCCTATTGGTGCTGATCTAACATCCCACACCACCAGGCTACTCTGGGAAGCCCCTCACCCAGCAGCATTGCAATTCTTTGCATGGCTCCAAACAGAGCTGGTTTGCTCTCTTAGAACCTTTTAAAAAAACCTCTGTGTTGCATTTCTTAAACTCTATTTAATAGAACCCCTTTTCTCTTAGACCTGGGACCACTTCAACTTAGAGCTGTGTCCAAAGTTTATGATACCATATGGCATCACTCCCAAAATTTTTATTCCATTCAGTACTCCAAGATGGTACCAGGATTAAGCTGATATATCCCAGCATCCCTCCTCACCACTACTACACTCAGGGAAGTATTCCCAGCATTTTCCCTTCATGCCTACCATCCCACGCTCTCCCTGACATGTTTGAACAGGTTTGGAGTCCCTCTCTGGGCACATCTTTTGGAGATCCTCATTAGACTTGCATTGATGGCACCCTCAGAATCCTGGGCATTACATACTATTCATTACGTCATGCTCCCCTCCACAGATGGCGGGCCTCTCTCTGATCCTCTGATTTAACAGGGAATAGGGAGAAGGCTTGGGGAGGCCAGCCACTTTCCAGTTCTTGAAATGAGCAGGAGTTCTGCCATCTGCAAGGCAGGGTTTGCCTTTTAGCTTCTGAGTGATATTCCAAGAGTGGATTTTAATCTATAAAGCACTGCTCAACTGAGGAACAGACTGCTCTGAGAATCAATCACCTGGCTCCGGATTCAGCAGTCTGGTGGTTTAAGTGAGTCAGTCAGGAATATATATTGGACACAGGCTGGACTGACTGCTGCGGAGAGAAAGACAGAAATAGAAGATGGAGCACCCTGGCCTCCCTTGCTCTTAAGAACCTTAGAACCGAAGATGGATACATTTTTGCTGCCCTCAATTTTTGAGAATCTGTACCAGTTCTTGAGGAGGGAGGTAATTTAGTGACATATGAAGCATGTCACCATGGATATTTAAGTTAATTTAGTTTGTGCATTCAGAATATTCCAACGTGAGTCATCTTTTAAATATTATAACGGTTAGTCTTTGAAGGTGAATTTGACACCATTCTTCAAAAAATGTAGAAAGCCATCCAAAGTGTGATTTTACGACCCAATTTTTTCTGCAGTACTTATATCTTATGTACAATAGTTTTTCTTTTTTTCCAGAAGACATTATACTGACTCTTTTTGTTGGTTTTTCAGTTTCTTTACACTATTACATAATGGAAATTTGTTCGTATATGGTGACTAAAACTTCATTGTAATTTTTTTTAAATTATAGAGGTAATGTACAAAATAGTAATCGGTGAAGTATCATGGGAGAATGAAAGTGGGGAGTGGGGCTTAGAAGTCATGCAGACCTGGGTTAGAGACCACGTGCTTAAAGAGTGGACTTTGAACTATGTTTCTTCAATCCAATAAACCTCAGTTTCTTATAGGTGAAATGGGGATAAAAATATCTACATCTCATAAGATGCTGGTGAGGATTAAGTGGAAAGCACAGTGCCTAGGTCATAATCGATGCTCAATAATATGAGCTCTCTCCCCCCCTTTGTTAGAGTGATGGATTTGCAAATGTTTTCTATTATCCAAACTCTCTACTAAAGAAGTATCTAATAAAGTATATTACCCTGAAACATAGTAAATAAATAGATAAATATACTTTAGATGTTCAAGATTAAATGGTGTTATACATTTGGTTATTTTTCCAACCTTGTTATTTTAACTAAAAGCAATTAGGAACAGGAGGAAATGAAAAATGTGTTTAAAAAATAAGCTGTATTAGCTGTTCTTTATTCCAAGTACTGAGTGACTGTTGCAATGCTCTTGCCAATGCAGCATAATTTTACAAGAGGCACATTTCCAAATAATAATAATAATATCTACTTATTAAAATGTATGACTTAGGCAGGCACAGGGCTGAGTGCTCTCGTTTTGTCCTCAGCTTTATGAGGTAGGTACTGTTATCATTTATCATTTTATAAATGGGAAAATTAACGGGAGTATTTAAGTAACTTTCCTTCTATGATTCAAGTACTAGTTGGCAGTGCTAGAATCCAAGGCTGAGTCTGTTAATTCCAAACCTCCGAGCTTAAACTGCCAAATGGTATATTACTTTCCATTTTCAGTGGGTTACATTTTATTAGAACTTGAGCTAATGCAGTTTCATCTCCATCTGCTGCTCTTAACATTTCTCAACATCTGCACAAGTAAAGCCCAAACAGCTACATGTTAGAAGAGAAAGAGCACTGGCCTGGAGGTCAGATCTGTGGCTTCTAGCCCATCCTCTGCTACTTGCCAGTTGTCTATCTTTGGGGCAGTGACCTACCCTCCACGAGGCTACATTTCCTTGCCTATAAACTGGTAATGATGGTTCCTTCTTCACTTGCTTGGGGAAGGGGTGAGTAGTTACACAGACTGTCGATGGCCACCTGCCGAAATCACCTCTATGTTGAACAAGTTGAGTATATTACTCATCACAGTGAGACAGAATGACACCATAGGGGCTCCTGGGCATTTCAGTAAGAGAGTGTAAGAAAGGATGTATTATAGGATGTGGGCTTTAGTTGGGTGACTTGGGATTGCAGGGGTTTGGGAAGTCTACAGGAGCCAGAGTTCACTCTGGATTATCAGGAATGATCCTATGATTGGGTATCTTAATAAATCCTATCTATACAGAGGGCGGACTAGAGTGAGACTAAGACTGTAACTGTAAAGAAGCAGCAGTCATTTATATTGGGTGGGGTGGGAGGTGTGCAGAATCTTGTGGTTTGCACAATGACCTTGTTTTTGTCTGCGCTTAGACAAAATTATGAAGTGGCCTTGGTTTGTCACACTTCATCATGGGTGCAGAATGAGCCTGTCTGATGTTGAGGTTCTGCAAGATTGACTGTGCCCACAAAACAACATGGTATCAGTGGGGGCCCCAGGCCAGCTTCTAAGAACATCAAAGCCTAGTGGATAGAGTAAGGCCAGCTCCTGGGTATCCAGGCTGCTTTTCTCTTGCTCAAGACCAAACAAGACAAAGTAAACCAAAGGGGGCGCTGTTGATTGCAAAGCATTGGACAAACAGGAAGCTCAAAGGAAAAATCAAGGCAGTGCTGCAGTTCCTGGTTGGCATCAAAATCAGAAAAGTCCTCCTTCACCTTCTTTTTTAACTACAAAAATTATGCAGGCTTCTCATACAAATTAGAAGTGACTGGGGAAAGTCTCTTCTCTCAGAAAACAAGGCCAGTCCTGCCCTGGAGACCTGAAGTACCAGGTTTACTCTGTCTTATTTCACTGTGTCTTTCGCTAGGTTGGACTCATCTTGGGCACAGTCTTCGTGATTCTCGGATTGACTATCCTGGCAGTGGGCTTTCTTGTGCCCCCCAAAATCGAAGCCTTTGGTGAGGCCAATTTCGTGATGGTGGACACACACGCTGTCCAGTTTAATGGAGCCCTTGACATGTGCAAGCTGGCGGGCGCCGTGCTCTTCTGCATCGGGGGCACGTCCATGGCAGGGTGCCTGCTGATGTCAGTGTTCGCAAAAAGCTACTCCAAAGAAGAGAAATTCCTTCAGCAAAAGTTTAAAGAGCGAATCGCAGACATCAAGGCCCACACCCAGCCCATTACAAGAGCTCCAGGCCCGGGAGAAACAAAGATACCAGTCACTTTGTCCAGGGTTCAAAATGTCCAGCCCATAGCGGCAACCTGAAACATTTTCCAGCCCGGTCCTCCCCTCTGTAATTTATGCCCAGTGTTACAAGGGAGCAGACCAGTTTGGGAAATGATATAGATTTGGTGTTGACCTGCCCCAAGGCTGTGCTGGGCTGTGGGCAGTGTGGTGTGTGAGCTCACACTCATTCCATTCAGTGGCCCTGGGAACCGTTGATGCCATGGGTCAGCCTGGGCACATGCACCCGGCTGCTTAAAAGGTGTTGCTGGGTGCCCACCAGGAACTCTCTGGAACTCCCCTCTCATATAGTGTGACTCTGTGTCATTTTCTGTGTTCTTGGAAAGCGCTGAACAGTTTAGACGAGCCTACCAATGGCTGACGTGGTCCATTTTACTTTCTAGTATTGGTTTTTCTAATCTTTCCTGTGTGGTGCTGCCTTCCATTCCTTGTCTCACTACATGTAAGATATTGTCCTGTGTTCACAGAAAAATCAAGTTCCCTGATTTTGACCCAAACTTTGGTCTTTTAACTCTAACTTAACATGAGGTTCTTGAAATCAGACACAAACGTATCAGAATTCTCCATAAGTCTTTTGCTGTTTTCTGTAGTGTTTTCCCACTTAAAGAGCTCAAATTGCCAACTTTAGAATCTTGGGAAATAAATTAATATTAGGAGAATCTATTTATGCAGTGTACAAAAGCACTGAATTAGAAGCCAAGAAATTTGAGTTCCTATTACTAACTAGCTGTGTGATCTTGGGGAAAGCATTTAACCTCCCAGGCCTCAGTTTCCCCACCTGTAGAACAGGCATCCTGGTCTGTGATGTCTGAGATTCCGTTTTTGCCGTGCATCATTGTGTGTCCACGACGAGGGATGTTTACAGTGTTCTTGTGGCTCTCACCACAGTGGGATTCTTCCAGACCTGGACTCCCAGAAAGTCACCAAATCAGCAGCCTCGATGCCACCTACTTCTAAATATCCAACTCCAGCAGTTTATACAATGCAGTCATATTTTTATAAAAACAAAAGTAAGCCATCCTCCAATAAGAAACCCCTGAGTAGATATTAACCTTAAAGAGGGTTTTCTTTCTCAGAGAAGACATTTTCTTCTCCAGTAAAATGTTCATCTCATCCCTTTACACTTTTATTTAATCTGTGGACTTAAACTAGCCTGAGGGAAATGGAACACATGACCTTGGTATCCTCTCAGAATCTGTGACACCTTCAAAGTCTGCCTTTTTTTTTTTTTCCTTTCCTTCACTGGATAAATAAAATATGTGAACAAGCAGAACTCGAATTGCATTGTCATTCCTTTGGTGTGGCTGTTTTCTCTCCAACATGTAATTTTCCATTCTGAGGCTAAGTGAGCTCTGCTGGTCCCCTGGCAAAATGGAAGAATAAATGAAGCAATTAGTGCTTTTGTGCACATGGTTTGTTTTGCATCGTCCAGCATAAAACACGGGGCAAATTAGCATCCTTAACATGGATCATTAGCTAGGTTCAGGAGAAACTGTTCTAGTTTCCTCAGGTTCTTCCTGTGGCAATGCCGTTTTATTTTTGTTCTTTGAAGCCTTATTCAAGTCCCCAGGCACCTGTTCAAGGCAACATCGTGAGGCTTTCCATGTTGGCTTGTGTTGTATACCAAGAAATCTTTGAGAATGAGATGACTTTCAAAAGCCTCCAGAATGAAAAATAATGACTGTAGGCCTTGGGAATTTTTAGGTGCAGGCATGCGAGCAGCCATAAAAAAATCAGCTCTGTGCCTCAGACAAAGGCCTCAAAGGAACAGAGATGGAGGAAGTAAGAGCTGAGTCTGAAAGAGGGATTCGGCATGCCCTGTCTTTGCTGTCCTGCCTAAGCTTTGTGGAAACAGGTACTTGTAAGGACCCTCCCAGTCCGTGGAGCAGGGATTGAGGGATATTGAAGGAAAGCAGAGGAAGGAGGCTGAATGGTATTAGGAAATACAGCTTGATCTTTGCAAAGAGTACAGGCCTGTGCAATCAGAGGGTGAGGAGCAGCCAACTAAAGACTTCACAAAGCCATTTTCAGGCCTGTTTGGGCAGATGTCAGGGGTATGGCAAACTGCAACAGTCCTAGAGCCTTGGTCTCAGCCTGCTTGCTGGCACTGAACCAATCCATCCCTTCAGTACTGAAACTTCTAAAGCAAAGTAAAACCACAACCCTACAGTTGGGGAAAGAGGTGGACAGAAGATGCTGGGACTGCAACAGAATAAACTCAGAAATGAGTTCTGGCCTAGAGATCACATAAGCTGAGGCACGTGGAGTCAGTAAAACCTCGAATGATGTAGGACCAACCCAGGCAGAAAACCCCACGCCCACCCCACATCAGCTCTGATCTAGCGACCTCCATTCGCTCAGGCACTGCCAATGACTGAAGCCCTCCTTCCTCACAGGACAAGCCACTACATCTTCTGATGGCTCTAGATGGTTAGAAAGCTTATCTTCACATCTTCCCAAAATCTGCTTTCTAACCCTTCCACGTCTTGGGCCAAATTCTCTAATTCAAGGTTACCTACAAGCCTAATCCCTCTTACAAAGGACCACCTAACCTCCAGTCCATCACCACCACCCCAGGCTACGAACGTTTCCATTCAATTACTTTCAATCCTGTCACCTCTTTGATTATCTTCTTCAGGGAGACATTTCTATAAAATCTCAATGTTCCCCATTTGTCCATGTGAAACTGAGCAGGACCCTGTGGGGCTCCTGGACACAAGAGCCTTCCTGTGTCCCCTTCCCTGAGTTCCAAAGGGCAGTTTCTCTGTAATCAGAGAAAGGAGGAAATACAGAGATAAGGGAGGAACAGTCAAAAAACAATAGCATAGCCTTGGGGGCAGGGTCCTGGTTCCCCCTCAAGGGATACACATCACAACATCTTAGAGCTGTTTTGCAGATACTGAAGCCCCCACCAGGTGGGAGAAGTTAACAGTATGCCACCTACTAGCAGGTAGACCCCAGACCAGTTGGAACCAGAAGGTTGATGATGCTGACTCCCACTTACCTCACCACCAACCAGTCAGAAGAATATCCATGAGCTGATCACACCCTCTTTGAACCCTTGCCATAAAACTTCTCGCTACCCCTTCCAAGTTGGGACACACAGTTTTGAGAGCATTAGCCCACTGTGACCCCCTTTGCCTGGCAAAGCAATAAAGCTATTCATTTCCACCTCACCCAAAACTGAGATTTAATTCAATGTCGGGGTACAGAGGCCGGATTCAGCTTCACATGCCACCTATTAAATGGAGCACCTAGAAGTTTTCAATTTGACGTAGGTTGTAGATTCCCTGACTTCATTAATTGCCTTGCTTACTATGTACACAGTACCTCAAGCCAGAAAACTGATTGTGCAAGCAGCAACTCCGTGTGCTTCCAAGGCCTCCTGTCATCTGGTCCAGCTCCTCTCTAGTTTTATTCTGACACATTCCCCGGAACCCTGCATCCTACTTGTACTCAACCACTCTCCTCTCTAAATGTGCCTGCACTTTCATGCCACCGCGCCTTCACTCAGCATGCTTATTTTACCAGCAATAACCATCTGCCCATTCTCTGCCTGTTGAACTGTTCATTCAAGGCCACATCAAGATACGATAGCAATAAAGGGAAGAACTAGTATGTACTGAATGGGAAGCACCACTGAAGCATTTTGTGTATAGTAACTCATTTAACCCTCATGTTAGGGGAAACACTGACTGAAACAGCCCGCCCTGGCCAGGCAAAGACAGTAACAATTTGCATGAGTTATTTTATGACAGGAGATCCTGGTAAAGAACACGGAACTAACAAGCCACCATCAAGCAGAATAATACAGGAAAGGTCAAAAGGAGAGAGGAGACACCAGTCCACATTTCCTACCAACCTCCCAGAATCCTCCTTGTTGGAATCCATCTTGGCTGAACGGTTCTGCTCACCACCCGAAAGGACCCTGAGTCAGAACGACTGGCCCGAGACAACCCGGAAACTAATCCCATCACCATAAAACTTGAGACTGCGAGCCACGTGGCAGAGCAGTCCTCCTGGGTTCCCTTACCCTCCTGCTCTCCACCCGGGTGCCCCTTCCCAATACAGTATCTTGCTTTTCAGCACGTGTGTCTCCTCAGACAATTCATTTCCAAGTGTTAGACAAGAGCCCACTCTTGGGCCCTAGAAGGGGTCCCCCTTCCTGCAACACTCACAAAAACCCTATGAGGTTGGGACTATTATCATATGCCCATGATACAAGGGAAAAAACAGGCAAAGAGAGGATAACTTGTCCAAGGAGAACTAGTAAGTGACAGAAGCAGGATTCAAATCTAGGCAGCCTGGCTCCAGGGGCTGCAGGCTACACTTTCATCCAATATTCTCTTCTGCCTCTAGAAAGTCACCTTCTGTCTGCAGCGTTCTCGCTCTCTCTCTCTCTCTCTCTCTCTCTGGCTCTCATTCTCTCTCTCTCTCTTACTCTCCCCATGGTTCAGACTTAATGTCTCTTCCTCAAGTGCCAGCATGTTGTACAAACATATTCTATTGCACTTATTATAGTGATTTGTTTCCATATCTGTTTCTTCCATTAGAAGCTAGACTATTAGCTGTTTGGGTACAGGGAGTATATCTTAATGAGTGGTGAACCCTCAGAAATGAATATATAAAAAGCTATGTGCTATTATATGGTCATTTAAAACAATTATTGCATTTTTACTTAGAGCCAGGCATTGTGCTGGCACTACAGAAAACAAAGAGATGATTAACAGGAGCACTAAAGTTTTTTCATATCTAACGTGTGTGTGTGTGTGTGTGTGTGTGTGTGTGTGTGTGTGTGTGTGTAAAAAAATGGATTTTGGGAGAGGACTAAAGACTGAGAGTATAGATTTGAGTACCCCTGAGCAAAGCTCTCCTTAATCTAACATTTGGGGTGGGGGGAGCCTGGTCTAATGGCTAGCTGGCCATTACTATATGTAAAAGCAAACTTCTCCAGCCAACCAGCCCTGCTCTGGGGAGCAGAGCTACCAGCTGTACTTCCCAGTCCTGGAAGAAACTGATGGAGGAGATAGACCTGCCTAGTCATGAGCAAAGGAAGTTGTCTCCAGCAGTCCTAAATAAACAACCAGATCTTCATCCTTAAATATGAAAGTAAAATCAGAATCATCAGACATCTGAGGGAAAACCAGCACCTTGAAAGAGTATATACGTATAACAGACTTCATAGGAAACATAAGTATTTCAGAAATCACAGGAGAATTCTAAAAAAAAATCCAATTAGTCTTCAGGAAGAAATTGCATCTGTAAGATAAAAATAGAATACTATGAAAGGGAACATCATATAGTTTTAAAATAACAAATGAATAAAAGAATAAGTTGAAGAAGTTTTTCAGAACGTAAAATCTCCCTCACCCATTAAAAAAAATTTTTTTAAATGAGACAAAAGGTGAAAGACATAGAAACTTAATCAAAGAGAAAAATACAGGAAAAAAGATTAGAAGTTTTAAATGAATTAACAGAAGAAAATTCCTCAAGGCTATAGAATACAAAAATCTTCAGACTGGAAGTACCTGCTGAACGGTTAAAAAAGGTCCCATGTTTTTGTGAAATTTTAGAAAAGATAAAAGATAAAAAGAAAAGATAAAAAGGATCCAAGAAGCTTCCAGAGAAAACAACCAACATCTATAAAAAAATAAAAATCAGACTGGGAAAAGAGAAGGGCTGTGATTTCATGCACCAGATGGTAAGGTAACTTTTAGTCTATGGAAAATACATTTACTCTCATCAACAAGGGGGAAAATAAGCAATAGAAACTCCAAAAGGAAAATTTAGAAATTTACAAAGCCAAAATAATGCAAACTGTTTACTTGTTTTCAACTTTCATTATCAAATTAAAGTCTAAATTATGATTATGAAACTGACTGCATATGTGATAAATCTGATGATGTTAAAGGTAAAGCTAGCAAAAATCTGTAAGCAGAAGGGAAAAGATAATAGGAGATAAAGGTAGGAATACTAATGTCCTCACCTAATCTAGTGAGAAGTCAAGAGTAACTGTTGAATGTTTATGGAAAGAAATAATGGCCTAAGTTTATAATTTGCAATTATAAAGATAACCCAACTAAAGAACTAAAAATGAAACATAAACACTGGAAAGGAGAGAGAAAATAACATGAGATGTAGAGAGAGTAAATTAATCCCTCATCTTTCATTACAGGAAATCAATCATTACTGTGTCAGTTAATAAATCAAGATATTATAAATAAGTACATTATTTAGGGTCATGGAAGAAGTCACTGGAAGAATTTCAAACAG